TGAGGGGACTGGAACCGGAGCTGAGGGAACCAGGGCGGCCCTGAGGGGCGGGCAGGAGCGGGCTGAGGGGGAGCCCGATCAGTGCAAGCCCTGAGGGAGCCCAGGCTTGTGTGGCTGAGCGGGCACAGAGGGCGGATTCCCTTCAAGTGAGGGATGCAGTTGTATGAACCTCCATGTTCTTTCTCGTCATCTTCCAGGAGAAATCCCAGGTCTGTTCCTCACCCCTGATTTTGTGTGACCACATGTCAGAGCACTCCAGGAAATGAGGATCAGGGAAAAGGTGCATGACGAGAGCAGGCAAGCCCTAATGACAACTTATTTTACAGTAATCACCAATATTGTCCTTCACATTTAGAGGGGAAGATAAAGGCACTGACAGGTGAAGTCTGGTCCAAGATGAACCAGAAAAGCAGTGGAAGGTCAGGAGTCCAAAGCAGTGTCTCTGGTGTCTGTGATGCTGCCATCCATTTTGGGGATGATTGTGTTGACTGTTAGAAAAGCATTCATACTTTCTCAAATAATAAGTGCCTACACTATAACTTCACTTGAACATAAATACATGGTGAGAGCTGTGTAGTGTTTGTTCTTAGGAGGGGAAAAAACACTGGGAAAGAGCCAAGGCAGTATGTCACTGTATGTTCCTGTTTATTCTACTTCTTATTTTTCACATGTTTTATAAAATGTGTATCTCCAATGACTAATACTTCTAAGTAACCAATTTGTGCCAGTAAATGGAAGCACCATCTGTAAGTAGCTGATTTGCAGAAGCCAAGTTCTCAAACATCTGAGGAGGAGGAGGTGTTATAACTTAGTGAGAGACGACCAAAGTGTAGACTTCGGTTTGGGAGTCAAGATGACTTCAAATGTATTATGTAAGCAGGATGTGAGAGGAAAAGGGAAATGGAGAGCAAAATGATGGAGCTCTTGTTCAGCAGGAGCAAAGATGAAGTAACCCATGCTGATAGAAAGGGTAATAAAAACACAACATTTGGGAAAAAAAGACATTTAGTTGAGTTTGAAATGTAGCAGATGCTGATTGCTGACACAGTGAGGAACACAGACCAGTGTGCTTACTCAGTGACATTCAATGACTGTAATAAAATGAAGGTTAATTAAATAGAAGTAGCTGAGATCACTGCTCTCATTTGTGCACTGTTTCACAGAGGAAAATGGAAGACCTTTGGGCCAAGTTCACACCCTAGGGATACTGTTGAGTAGCTGCACTTGTATTTATAACATCCTAGTCTGAGCAGTTTTTTCATTCTAGTGTTTCCCCACTTCTTTCCTCTCTTGGAAGAAACCTCAAATGACTGCAAAAGACAAAGCTGGAGTCACTAGAGCCAAAGAGAGCTCTTGGCACTTTATCTGACAGCTGAATTTGTCCCTGTGAGATCAGAGGTGAACTTTCACACTCTGCTATTTCATGCTGATCTGTTATTGTCTTTACACAAGGCAAGACATTTGTGCAGGGACAGCCAAAACTAGCAAGATAACATGTATATATTTAATTGTTTTAAAATAAAAGCTGCAAAAATGTTGGTGTATCCATATTAGAACATCTTAACAAATCTTGAAGAATAAAGATGATGTGCACTCTGCTTGCAGAACTATGGGACATCTATTGCTTCATACAGCTTAACTTCATGAAGTACTTTGTAAAGGAATAAATCATGGTAGAATATATTCCTCACTTTGTGCCATGCCCCTGCGTATAACAACAGTGAGTGCTAGAGAAGCTTTTATTTTCACATGGGCAATGGAAGTCTTTACAGTTGTGCTTGCTTGGGATGGGAAGTGGGAACCTCTTGGGAGCTCTCCCTGCCTGGAGAAGCCTGTCAGAAGATGCAGGACAGATTTCAGAGTGTTACCTTTTCACAGAAGTGTTTGGGCCAAGAAATTTGAGGTCACTGGAGAATACCAGCAATTGGCTCAAGCTTCCGAAGCCTGACTCACCTGACAAATGCCACAAACAAGAGGCAGAAGATAAATCTGGAATCCACATAGTCATGGAATCAATAGAAATTGTATCTTTCCATTTGAAAAAGGGCTTTTTATATTTTTTTTTCATCCAAGTACTCTGTGACTGAAGTAGAGGATGCAAGATTTGATTATCTTATAGCATATTTTTGAAGTTGGTTCTCCCATTCTTAAAGCAATTGGGGAACAATTAGCAATTCATCATCTCCTTCTAACTCAACCTAAACTGGATAAATGCTTCCTTCTCTTGGAGATTCCTTCTGGATCGCTGGCTCAGTAAAAGCCAAGTATTGTAAAAATTGCACCCACATCTAGAAAGGTCTCGAGATTAATGTGCCATTCCTTGAACTCATAAAAAAGAAAGACATTAGATGATCTTAACAATGTCTGTTTTATGTAATCCCATGTCCACTGGCATTAATTATGTCCCCCTCCTTTAATTATTTTTGTCAGATCTCATGTTAATTAGACTCTGTTATTTTGCTTAGGATTGCACTTTGACTGATGATTATCTCATTTATCCTTTAAAATAATTTATACAGCGTTACAATTAGAATGCTAATGTTCTTCTAATTTTAGCGAAAACGATTTTTTATTCGTGCATTTTTGGGCTTCCCAATATTCTCCGTGGATTTCCGTCCGTCCAAACCCGCTTAGTGTTTTGCGTTTGCAGTACCGGACACCCCCGCTGGGCGACGCTCTGTAATCGAGTTTGGGTTGAAATCGGAACTTTCGCTTCCCTGCCCGTGTCTAATGGGCTAAAATTCCACCTTTCAGCTTCCGTGGACAAACTGCTTGGAGTTGTTTATAGCATAAAAAGACAATTTTCTCCACAAAATAAACTAGAAAGCGATGCTTCTCTATAATAAAATAATAATAAAAAAAAAGGCTTGCAGATCTCTTCAAGCATGTCAGGAATATGAAACTACACGATGTTTACAATTATTGGAAGCATAAAAGCAATTTATCACAATACCTGATATTTACTATGGCATGCATTTGATCTTCTTTCCCCCATCCTTTTCTTCCATGGATGCAGTTCAAAAGTTTACAGCACAGGAATGCAACGTTGTGTACTATAGTGTTTCACTTATTTTCTGTACCTTGGCTTAGTTTATCCCAGGGTTTCCCACTGGATTTACTGATGAGAGAGCCTCAATATTATTTAAAGAGAAAAAAGCCTTTATGCTGAGATGTTTAGAATGTTACACTTTGTCTGATCAGGGAGCTTTAGGTTGTTTGCAGCTGATTAATAACTCGGTGTAGTCCAGATTTTCTGCTTTCATAAAATATGCTTATATTTGTTGTGCTAGAAATTATGAAAACACTTTGGATCAAAGGAGAAGGCCACCATATCAATCATTTTTTATCAAAATGCATTTGATTTGGTGGGAGCCCTTGCACTGAGATGATGCTCAGGGTTGTCTCAGCCTGCAGAGCAGCTCCTGCAGGGTTCAGAGGATAATGGTGGTCAGAGATGGAAAGACCCAACAGGTCAGATTTTCCACCCACTTCCAAATTGGGAGTGCTCCCTCTGGTACATCTCGCTCAAGTCTGGGGTCAGTGCTGCACAATATCACGCTCTAAGGTTTATTTATTTATATACCCCAGTAAATAGAAAACAGAATAGCAAGGGTGACTTTTTACCCCCCTGCTTTCAAAATAACACAAAGTTTCTAGGTGAAGCTGATTAATTCCCTCTTAGGCTGCTATCAGCAGAAATTAAATGGGGTTGACTCATGGGGAACTCTGCAGTTGTGATTTGCTCTACAAATGAGATATAAGAGGTTTTCCTTGAGAGCTCAATGATGTATAAAAGGAAACTAAAGGAAAATGTATTACACTGCATTTCTGGGCTGCAGCTGTGCATCTTAGGTGCCTTAAATTCTTCTTACTAAAAGCCCTTGAGCTAAGATTTTATGCCCATAACTACTCTGTCCTCTGGCAAATCATATTGCCTGGCAGGTCTGGGTAAATAACAGGTTACTCTTTAAAAAAAAAAATACAGAGGAAAGAATACAAGATTTCAAGACTTTTTTTTTCATTATTATTGTCAAGAACTAAATCTCAGCCAGTAAGTAATTCAGGAATACTTAATTACACATAATAATACTTTAACCTGTGTTGCCCAGTTCTGTATGTAGTGATATTATTTGGGTTTCCTTGATGTCCCTGTGTGATAACTGACCAACAGTGAATATTTTTAATTGAATGTAAAAGTCATAAAATGACATATGTACTGCTAACCACTTATTGTGCAATTGGAGGTTTTCATTTGGCAAATGTTCAAGCTTAAAATGTGTTTTTCATGATTATTCTCCTTATTAAAGCTCATTTGCTATTCATGGAAAGTGAGCACAAAAGAGATGTGAACAGTCAAAGAAACTCATTTAAAAATTCAAATGAATATCCAAGGGAAATGGATTTCAGTGTTTGCCCAACTCTACTGGGACACTCAGCTGCTGATCGTCTCCTTAATGGGTGCCTTTGTCATTGTCCTCAAGGCTTCCATCACAAATGCTCCTAACTACTTCATATTGCAGTCATTATGCAAAATTCATTCTTGATATGGCTAAAGTGGTTCATTAGAGAGAGGCAAGGTGAGAGTGTGTTCACCAGGTGCCTGCTGCTTTTACAAATGAGGCAAAAACTAATTTGTTGTGATACTGACTGCTGAGTTTAGTGTGGAGTCAAAGGAACTCAGGTCTCTGGCCCTTGCTAAGAGCTGAGACATCCAATGGCCTCGCTCATCCTGGCCTCAGGGACATTAGTTATCCCTCTCTGGGTCTTAGTGATGGCGAAGATCTCATAATCAACTGTGGGAACAAAAAACAGTAACTGATGTTTATTTTCTACTTAGGCTGAGCTCCTGCAAGATAAATTGCACCTGTATTCTTCACTCACTTTCCTGGCTGCAGGATCTGCATGCAAGGCTCCTTCCTCTCCACTGCTTTCAGCCACGAGTCTAATTGAAGTAAGTCAGGTGGTCAAGAGCTGCCCTCTAGATAACAAACACTTGACAGAACCACCAAAGTGCTGCTTGTTACTACCTCACTAAATGGTGTAGTTCCTTATTATGCTGAAAATATGAAGTGATGGGAGCAACCACATAGCTTCTAGGGATAGATAACTGAAAAAACATCTTGCATCATTCAGCCTGAGACTTTGGAAGTGCATTTATTCATGCAAGCTGAGGTCAAAGGCTGATGCTTTTCAGAAAGGTCTTGCTTCTTAGCCAAATTTTTAACTGCTTCAATTAAAGAGGATCAGATTCTTTGCCTGGGGTCATATGGCAACTCAGTGGCTCATCCAGGGTTTGAGCCAAAGATCCATTCTCTTGGTTCATCACCCTTGAATGTAAATAGGAAATTTCATTCTGCTTTATGAAGGTATTAGGCAGATTTTATACATTTTATATTTCTGGATTGTATACAATATGTATTTCTGAAAGAGACTGAGTTGCCATTATGATGAGGAAACAGTCTAATGGGTAATAAAATTTAAGAAAAACAAGATACAAAAGATGTTTCCAGAGGAAGAAATTGGACCATGAACTAGTAGTTTGTGGCAGCTGATAAGATGTGGAACTTTCTGAGGATATGAAGGACATTAGAATGCCAATCAAATACCTAAATGTTCATTTAACTTAGAGTCAGGTGCCAGGAATGCTCTTACAGATACAACAGCCCATACCTTCAGAAGCATGGAAGAAGAGGAGGGGCTGTCTTAGATTATTTCTGTCTAATATTTTTGCTTAAAATTGAGTTCACTGTGTTATTTTCCAGCTTATCTCATCACCCTTTCTTTTTTTTTTTTTTTTTTTTTTTTTTTTTCTTTTTTTTTTTTTTTTTTTTTTTTTTTTTTTTTTTTTTTTCCCTCTTCTAGAATGTCCCATCCCTTCAAGTTTTATTTTTGGAGTTTAATATCTCCTGTTGATGATTTCTGTTCCTTATCTTCTCTTTTCTGCTTCTCTTTTAGATTCTGTCTCCTTCAGTCTCCAGCTAATGTCTCCCCATATGTCAGATTAAAAAAAAAATAAAAAAAATTACAAGATGCTGGGCTGTGAAAGGAACTAGGGAATGCTTATGTGGTTGCAAGCAGGCTGACCATTAAAGCGACTTTATTTCTACAGCATTTCAGATGCTGGGCTTGACAGTTTCATTTCCGAAACTATTTATACTCACAAAAATCCATAGCAGCATTTCCATTATTTCCTTATATGATTTTTTGCCTATATTTTATCAAGTCATCTTCTTCTATTCAGGCCTGATTTCAGACAATAGGAATACAAAGTGGAAAAATCCTTTCTAAAAGAGACTGTAGCTTTTTATCTATTAAAGCATCTTTCTGTGTCCCAACACATTTTTATCTCAGCCTATTTTTCAGTTTCTCCTGTTGATTTGATCCAATGGAATGACATGCAGGGAAGACTTAGATGAAAGTTACACCTGAAAAGGGTGTGTGTTCAGAGCTGAGGAACCTTTACTGAAGCTGCCTTCCTCATTATCCACTAAAGCCCTCTTGCATCTCTGGATCCTGATTGCAGACCATGCTATATTAAAGCAAAGGCCAGGCCTCCCACTGAAAACACAGAAGGAGTAGATATTTTACTAAGCTGTCACCACTGGACATCACAACAGGCTAGGATGGATAAAAATGATAGATTTTATATTCTTGCTTTTCTAAATATCATGCTGTCAAAGCCTTTTTATATGTGATCTATTTTTTCATCATTGCAAGGAAAAAAAACCAACTGAACCATAACTTGCAGTTTTGAAAAGGAAACTACAGCTAGCATTAAATATTCTTGAACAACATCAGTGTATTAAAATCTAGCACAGTTTGCATAAAGAGACTGTGTGGCAATTTGTAAGAACATGTGAAATAAACATGTTAAGAGTAGTCAGGTGTAACTTGTTCCTTGCCACAGTAGTAAAATCAGTGATTCCCAGACTTTCTCATCTGGAAAATCCTTGCCAGCCCCCAGGACTCCTGCACAGACCCCCAGACTCCTTCAATGTCACTGGCTGTTGCAAACAGAATAAAGACAACATTTATTTCACAAATGAAGTTTGGAAACCCCCAGACATAATGATGGCTTTGGTTCCCTGCAGCTCTACACTCCGTGGCTCTGGACTGTTGCTGTGACTCCAGGGAACGGTAGGGTAAGCTTGTGATGGAATATGGTGTTAACAACACTGAGCTACTGAGCACAGCCCCTTTTGCTTGCCTTGGAGAGATGCTGGCTCAGGAAGGTCAGCAGGTTGTTTGCTTCCTGCTGAGCTAATTGGCAGGGTGACAACCACTGCCTGCCAAACACATGCATTTGTTTAATCTCTGCTGGTTGGGGATGAAAACCACCAGTAGACAAAAGAGGCCTTCTTTCAGAGAGCTGATTTAGAGCTGGGTGAAGATGGGTTCTCCCCTTAAACCCCAGAGTGTCAGTAGTAGCTGCTCTGGATATGCACAAATTGCACAAACCCAAGCTCACTTTGGATCCCTTTTCCCCTGACACTGCAGTAGGAGGAGAGGAGAACTATTGATCTTGTTATAATATGAGAAGTTACCAGGATCAGGTAGATTTGGCATCTGTAGTTTTGTATTTAAAAGCTGATGCCACTTTTAAGTGCAAGATTGAACGGATTGTAGGAGAGACAAGGAGCTTCCTGAACTGATTTAAGATGCATGAAGCTGTTGTATTAAGGACATGTGCAAGACCCAAGGGAGTCAGTGCAAAGAATCTTGTTAATGTTTATAGGCTTTTGATCAAGTCCTAAAGACAGACTCAAGAGCTGAGATGTTTTGACTTGGAAACAAAGGCCCTGGTGCAATTATATAATTTCTATTATTCTCTTTAAACTGGTGTGTGTTATTCATCGTTCTGATCAGAACATGCTTTGTATCTCTGTCCTATTTCTGGTTTGATGATTGTGATAAACTTGATAACCTTTTGCAGGCTGTGCAGTTGTACACTTCCTTCAGATCTTCTGTTTGGCTTGTGCAAGTGCTTTTTACATTTTAAAGGACAAAATTTGTGTTTGTTTTTGCCAATTAGGGATTAGCAAGGGCTAATCATATTCTAAAACTATAGGAATGATTGTGATAAAGTTAGTGACCCTTTTCAGCCTGAAAGATGTACACTTCTTCATATAGATTGTCAAAGTCCTTTTTAAGTTTTAAAGGGCAAAATTTATGAGTTTTTTTTATTTCACCAGTTTGAGATTATTAGGGTCTAGTGGTATTCTAAAAATACAACTTCTAGTACAGCTTCATCTTTGCCTCTTTCAGAGATTTGCATCCTCTCCATTTGTATGGAATGTACCTGTTGCTGCCATCTCCTTGTAACAGAGGGCCATCTCTTTGGTATCCTCAGGATTTGCAGGTTTTAATTAGAATGGATTTATGTTGATTAGAGTTGATGGGATTGAAATGCCATGTAGTTATTAATTTCCTAGTTTTAATTTTGCTACTTAGTCATACATTACCAAAAATATCTTGGAAATGTGTTTTTTTCCCTTGTAAAGTGGCAAACCAGAGAAATAAATGCATCTCGGCAGGCTGTCATTTTGAGTACAACTCCTGCTAGATCCTGACTTAGAATTCTGTGAATGACTATAGAGCTGGAAGAAAATGAAATACCTGCAGCCAAGTTTTCTTAAATTTATTTGAAAACAGGAATGAACTTTGAGGAATTGCTGCTAGGATTTGCTTGGTTTCTTTTTTACATGTAAACGTCAGTGAACATAATTCCTTGAAATTCCAAAATTTCAAAATGTACAATTTAATTTTCATCTCTGTAGCATATGCAAAACAAAGTTTCTGGGCAGAAGTCAATATTATCCATCACATGGAATGCTGTTTCCACCATTGCAGGGAGGAAAGTGAGGCATAAAACAATGTGTGGTCCAGTCCAAGGGTCATTACAATCAGTCGAAGGTGCATCCTCAGATCTCACTGCAACAGGATAAGGTGTTGTGCAGGTGGACTGGCTTTGCAGGCTGCTCATCTCTGCGGTGATGAACAAAAGCAGTAACAAAATTTGCAGAGCAGATAAAAATTCAAATGATCCTCTTTCCTGAAGTCTCATGCTGAGCCCATTGCAGATGAAGAGAGGAGACCACAGCACTGAGCTACACAAGTGGCAGAGTTTTGGACTGGGAATGAGGACTCTGGCTTTTGTAGAGAAGGGGTTCAGAACAGAGAATGTTTATATTCAGTGCTGGCATTCAACTAGTTCCTAAAACTTCAGGATAAAAATTCCTGCAGAAATCGATCCTAAAGATAAATTCACAGCTTCTTTCAGCTTCTCTCTTCTTTCTGTAATCAAACCCATTCCTCACTGAGTACAAGAGCAGTGAACTCAAAATTTCTTTTGATAAAAGCAGAGCTGAGCAGCATTGTTCCACAATGTGTCCAAGTAATGCCAATTGCTGTAACACTACATTTCCTGCAGATTTAAGTTCTCTCCTTAATATTCTATCTATCTGGAGGCAGCTGTTTGAAGAAAACAGCTAAGCTTGATCATAAATTTGTCCCAGCATGTTTAGAAGTATTTGTAAATAAAATCTGAATGAATGTATTCTATGGACTTCTTTCAGAATACCAAGCACCAACTTTTGTCTGCTTCAGTCTGTATTTTAACTCTATTTCTGGTTTGCTATCACTTGGAAGTTTGGTCAGCTTTCTCCAAATGGGAATTTTCTAAGGGAGAGCAGATTTTGGGTTCCATTGTGAAGGAGGAGAACTTTGGGAAACCTCATTGCATTGGTGTAAGCAGATGGAGAGAATCAGGATTCTTCTTAAGCTCCTGGGTCTATGCCCCTTTTTTGGTCTGTGCTTGCTCAGGGCTGTTCCAACCTTTGGGTTTAGGTGAAGGTGTAAGAGAAATTCAAAGAGATACAAACCCAGGAGATGGGGAATATTCAAATAATTGACTCAATCACAAATGCAGCTGATAATGTTCAACCTGTAAATGCCTGTTTGGTGCTGGATGCTGGGAATTGGTCGGGTTTCTCCCATAGCCTTGATTCCATCCCAGGCAGTACTAGGAGAGATGTCCTGCAGACACACAGGAACATGGCAAGAAATTGTCCTTTCAGAACCAGAAGGTGAAGGTGTGCTTGGAAGCTGTTGATTTCTTGCTTTCAGTTGCAGTGTGAATTTTCTGGATAAAATTAAAAAAATCTCATCTTCCAGTCCTCCACACAGGAATTTGCACTAAACAGCCAACACTTGCAGTCTGACCTATATGACATTGCTGTTAATTATGTATTATATATGCTGCTTTTCCTATTTTTTCATTGTGAGGGGCCTCTTGGCTTCTCAGTTCATACGCATTACTCTCATTAACATTAATAAGAATTTAGGCATTGCAGAGTAGTTGTCAAGCTATTTTGATATCATTCCCCAATACTTACCAGAGTCATGTGCTCCAAATAAAGGCAGAGTGTCATTCTGGATACCAGGTGTACTTGGGATCCTGTTTCCTACAGAATTATACTCTGAAGCTGCTGGATCCAACCAGGATTCCATGGAGCTCTCTTACATGCTCAGGCCATTCTGATCCATCCAGAGAGCTGATGTGTTCATGCAACAAAGCTGTCACAGCCATCCTGCAGCTCAGAGTTCCACTTATCCCTTTTGTGGGAAGCTGGTCTCTTAACCAGTTTACTTTGTAATAAAAGGAGTAATAGCTATGTACAATTGAATTTCTCTGTTGTTTTTGTTAGTGCATCAAATTCTTCCCTGAAATAACCAGTTACAGTTCAGCTGAATGAAGGCTGTGAGTTCATTTTCATCATTGCATAATTATTTGCTTCAGACTTACCAAATCCTTTGTTGATTTTTAAATTTACATCATACTAAGCAGAAAATAATGCCATGCCCTGGAGCAGTGCAGAAACCATGATTAAGAGAAATAGCAGCCACTAAGAATGATGGTCATACACACAGGATTAAGGGCAGAATTTGACTTCCTATAGGTCAAGATTTACACAGACCACTTGGTCACTGGCCAGTTCTTAACTCATTTTGAGTGTCCTTTTTATTAGGATTGGAGAGCAGATTTAAAAGCTGTGTTAATGAAAAAAACAATTGACATGATTGAACCAGGCCCTAAATGCTTAGTGTCTGTTGGAATTAGATGAACAATTCCTGTATATTTTGCTACTGTAATGCAGGATTAATGTTTTCTGATCATGTTTTCATTACTTATTCTTTAAGAGCACTGGGACAATTTGAGTGAATCTTTGTATTTGTAATGGGTCCATCATGTGGGAAAAGATAAATGAATGTGATTCTTGCTATCCTTATTTGGAGAGATCAGGGATGGATTGGGAAACTCAAACAAAACCTGTGCAAAACTGGCTCTAGTTCAGACTGTATTTTCTACACTGCCTACAACTAATATGTTTGTATTTGATTTGGACACTTTGTATTGGTAGAAAGGAGTCAGGCATAAATGAGGCCAGCACTATTATTCAGTGTTATTAATGATGTTGTCTACTCTTAGTTCCTCAAAACTAGAAAACTAATAAATTTTACATATTGGAAAAAAAATCACAGATAAATCAAACAAATACATAAATTCTTTAAAGTATTTAATATGTGTTAAGAGGACAGGATGATGAATTCAATATTGAAAACCAATATCAAGTTTACAATTATGTACCATTTATCATCACTGATTGCACAGACAGAGTATTATTGTGGGGAACAGAATGATGCATAAACTAAAACCCTGATTGGTTTTCTAAAAAAAACCCCCAAGTTAAAATTCATGTTATGTCTGAGAAGCTTTGTTTTTCTTTTTCAGGCATTATTTTCAATAGTAATTGTTCATTCAGACACAAATGATGCATATTTAATTTCTTGGGCTTTGATATTAACAGTATAATAATTTTCCAGTGTTGATAACTTGTGCTTTTACAAACACTAGCAGGATTCGGTTTGCTGTTATTTTCTGAGGCCAAATTTCCCCTTTAAGAACAAAGAACACATGGAAAATGAAAAAGTGGAGAGGAACTGGTTTTGAATTGGACATGCAAGCAAATGAAAGCAGCAAAATGCTCTTGAAAGGTGAATGGACTTTGAAGAGAAAATGTGTACAAGTGGCTGGTTTTACTCAGCAGATCTTTTCAAAGGGTAAAATTCTGCCTCCCCAAAAGTCAACGGCAGAGCTCGCAGTGACTTCAGTGTTTTCAAACTCTTGTTGTCTGTGTGAAGGACATACCTGCTCACCTTTATGAAAGAGCTGCTCTTCTTTAAACTCCTGTCACCCCAGCTGAGCTCTGGGAGAGGGAAATGAATTCTTCTCTGGCTCACACTTTATCAGCAGAATTATTAAGCAGTTTTCTGTGCAGAGTCACTCTTGTAATACACTTCTGCTTTTTTTTTTTTTTTTTTTTTTTTTTTTTTTTATTTTTTTTTTTTTTTCTCTTATTTTTTTCAAATTCTTTTCTCATTTTCATGTTGATGCTCAGGTTTCTTGGGGATAACCAGATATCATTTCACCAAACTGAAGCTGTGCACTCATAACTGAGAGTTATTTTGTCCTTCAGAATCTCAACAACTCAATCTGATTTATGAAAGAATCTGGCCAAGCTTGAAGATTCAGCTGGAGTTTACAGAGTTATAACTCTAGTCTAGACTCATTGAGTCAACAATAATAAGAAAGAAACCAAACTGTCTTTTTATATGTCTTTTTTGTAAACTACACATTTTAAAAACAGAAGCACTGAACTAGAACAAGTGTGCTGCAATCTAGTCCTGAATGTCTTTAGAAGGGGGTTGCATTTAAATAGACACCAAGAAGAAATGAGTATTCCAGTAGTCTCTCTCAAATGGAGAAACATCCATAGCCACATTCATTGGCATTTACTGACATCTACGCCCCTGCAAGCAGACAACCACAGTGCAGAGAATGCCAGAACTTTCCATGGGAAATTACTAAGCTGGATGGGATTTTATATGAGCAAGAAGAGTGGGGCTGAATGTTCTGCCTCAAATATCTGTTAAAAGTCATACAGCAGAATGTAGCACCTTGGGTTTCATTGGTGTCCAGAGAACTCATAGTTTGACAGGCCACTTCTTTGGAAAGTTTTACAGAGAACACTGAAAGCCAGAGGAAAAAAAATTGTCGCAGCGGGCTTGCCTAATTCATTTTAAGCAGCCTGGTTTAGTCTCTATGCATTTCTTACCATTTAAAAAGGAAAATCAAGGATGCTAAATAGTTTCCCAAATGGAAACTGGTGACAAAACTGACTTCTAAACAATGGCATCAATATAGAGCAACTGGTGGTTTTTAATATTCTTAGACAAACAACAAAACCTAATTATCTTTATTTATTCAATAAATCAAATTCAAATTTGATCTATTGAATTGTATTAAATATTGAAAATTATTTAATAAATGAGCATGATTGCTAATTTATTATTGATATTCATCATTAAGATTTTGGTAAAAAATAATTTAAAATAGGTAGAGAAAGGTAGTGAGGAATTCACCTCAGGTACCAGTACCACTGCAGATCCTGCTTAGGTTGCCTTAGTCATGGGTAATGAAGAAAAATAGCTTGTGGAGCCAGGGAGGGAGCAGAAGTGGGCCTGGAAAAGAGGTAGGGAAGGAGGAATCTCTCCAGCAGCCACTCCAGCACCCAGGGATTCTCCACTGCCCCATGCTGCTGGCTGAGGGGGCTGGTGCAAGGTCCCAGGAGTGCTGCAAACCAGCCCAGCCAGGCAAGGCAAGGCTGGGACCCTCGGGGCACGAGGGCAGTGCTGGACTGAAGGAGTTTTTTGGGAGGCTGGGAGGTTGCAGGGAGTCCCTTACAGAGCCAATGTACCAGTCCTGGCCCCTTTTTGAAACACTGCCATCACCTGCAGTCATGCGCTGGCATGTGACCAAGAAACACACAGTGCAGGACAAAGGATTTTGGCAGCCTCATATGGACATAAAATACTGTACAATGTGGGGATTCATCATATAGCTACGGTGACAAAAAAAGTTCTATTAATCCTTTTGGTCTGCTATCAAAAAGAGACTTGGTCTTGTGTTTCTTACATACTAAGATGTTAAAAAAGCAGGATCACAGCCAACATTATTATTCTAATTAGAATATAATCACTAATAGTACCTAACACAAGTAGAACATTTCATCTTGAAAGGCCTGTGCAAGTGTAAGATTGCTGGCTAAGAGCTAAGTTAGTGCAGCTGTTCAAATCATCTGTCATAAGCCTTTTGGTCTAATGATTTTAATCATTATGCATTTGTAACTTCTGGTACATCTTTCAGGAAGAAAATGACAACCGTGGGGTGCGATTCACTCCCTGGCTGATGCCTCTCTGACCATGCAGCGGCACTGAGCCACCCGAGAGCAGCAGCGATGCAGTCGATGTGACAGCGCAAGGGCAGATGCTCTGGACGGTAGAGGATGCTAGAGAAGAGGTAAATTTTCCACGGCGCTTTTCCCCATTAGCATCCCCTGAACCTCGCGTGGCATCAGCTCGGGCCAGCGTCTCCCCGTGCAGGGCTGCTTTAGGCACTGCGAGCTGCGTGTGCCTGCCCGTGTGTGCCCGCTCCTCCAGCTGCGTGCGTGCCTCTACTTGCAAACCCGGCACCTTGAAATGGGTCCAGAAGTTTGCGTGATCTCCCTCTGAACACATCCGCGGAGTCTGAGAGGTCTCTGCTCGGGAGACCGCGGTGTTTCAGCCGCAGCAGGCAGGGAGCCGTGCTTTCCCCCATCTCCTGCCTCTGCTGAGCCACCAGGTGTTTCTGCCTCGGCTATAGTTTGCTTCCTCATTCCCACATGTTCGGGCGGCAACCTTGGGATGCCGGGGTGCCAGTCTGATTCTTTGTCCTTTTAGGCTACTGAATGTATTTTAATTGAATCGGGCAGGAAAAAAAAAGCCCCAAAACACATACACAAAGCCTAAGGCATCAGGACTAGATCCCCTTTCCCCGACACAACAAACGGTTAAATAAATAACGAGATGCCAAACCAACCATTACCAAACGAATAAGCCAAAAATGAGCGTCAGCGCCGCAGGAAACGGGAAAGTTTCTGCGCTCTGAAGCTGGTACCGCACGTCAAAGCGACAATCCAGGGGGAGGGGAGCGGAGCGCAGCCTCAGCCCAGCGCCTGCGAGAGCCGGGGATGCGCTGGTGCGCCCAGCCCTGCATCCCGGAGCGACTGCCCGAGAGATGCTGCTGTGACTTGGTTCTGCGCCGGGAAAAGAGCGGCTCCGAGCCCCCACCCCCGTCTCCTCCCGCCCTCCTCTTCCTTCCCCTCCCCCGGGTCCTGCGGGGAGGCGGGTTTAAGGTGGGTCGTGTGGCCGCGGTAACTTTCCTAACAGAGCCAAAGAGGCGCCCGGAGTCCCCCGCAGCAGCATCGCCCGCCCGTCCTGGGCAGCGGCACCGGCGCGGTGCCCCCGTGCGAGCGGCCCCGGCTCGGCCGAGGCCGCTCGGGCTCCGCTCGCCCCTCCCGCCGCCGTCTCGCCGCAGCCCCGCGGAGCCGGACCCGGGTCCCACCAAGGTAGGTGCCAGTCGGGACAAGCGCTGGGCGCTGCCGGGGACGCGGCACCGGAGCCCCGTGCCCGCAGCTGCGGCTCCCACGCCCCGTTTGTTCCTGGCGCTGCTGTGGGACAAGGAGCATCCTCTACACCCCCGGCTGCGAGGGACGGAGCCCCTGCCCTGCTCCTCCTGGAACTGCCCAGGCAGCCAGGAAGAGCCGGGAGGAGGCAGTCTCTCTCCAGTCCCTTGCCTCAATCTTTGCATTCTCGTTGGTGCTTTTGGAAGTGCTGAGCTAGGAGATGTGTGCGTGGGTGAGATCTTACGGCTTTATTAGGACTCTCCCCTATCAACGCTTCTCTCAGAAGCCGCTTCCTGCCCCCCGCGTGGTTTACTGGGGTGTTGTATCGGCACGAACTTTCTTTTGGTTGCGGGAGACGGATTTGGTCCCCTCGTGTCCCCGGCGTGTCCCCGTTCTCGGGCTGCCGCGCTGCGCGGGCGAGTGGACTCGGGCTGGCGCCTCGCTGCTGAGATTATAGTGGCTTCCCTGCCGGGGCTTCTGGTGGGAGAAGGTGCTTGGGGCAGGGAGAAGTTGTAGGATGCAGTGTGTAAGCGTCACCTGCGTTTTTAGAGCCTGGGAAGGGGGTGGAATCTCCCTCTCGCTGGTGCTACTCGCTGCTGCCAAACATTGCCTTCTTTCGCCTAGGCAGGACTCTGGCCACGCTGCCAGGTGGTTCCTAACAAAGAGACAAGTTTGGGAGTGTCAGGACATCAGCTCCCAAACGCAGCGCTCAGCGGCGCTCCGCAGGGACAGCGCACAGTTCTGGTGGCTGTGTTTATCTCGGGGCACCTGATTGATCCAGAGGGGTGGACAGGGCATCAATAGTTGGGAAACAAGGCAGCCATCGCTCCTCGTTATCTGAATCTCCAGCCCGGTGATCACTGCACATTGGGTTTAGCCCGTCCTACCCCCCGGCAGGAAGAAAGTCTGGAGTTAACTCAAAGGAAGGCTACAACTCATGCCTTCATTATCCCCTCACTTAGAACAGAAGTATGTAACACATAAATTAGCCAGAATGGAGCAGCCTGTCTGCCTTCCACGACCTGTCAGATGGGGCAGATCCCACCGCCTGTCATGCTCAGCCCTGTATTTTGGTAATAGAAATAGAAAGGTGATTGGACATTGGGTCTTAATTTCACATCATTGGGCTAAGGAAATCTGAGAAGATTTATGCTGGGATATCCAAGTCTGAGAATTCTTCCCATGCTTAGATGTCTCCTAGAGTCTATCCAGAGCTTGGTTGTCTCTCTTGCTCTTTGGACCTTCCTGCCATGTCTACTTTGTTATAAAACCCCACAAGTTTTCCTTCTCAGAGGAGTTAGTGCCTGCTGAATGGATTCTTTCAGGTGTATTGCCTTGATCATAGTGCTGCTAAACAAAGGTGACCAAACCAACTGAACAAGCCTCACGACAGGGCTGGATTTTAGCCAATCTTTTACAGAGCGTGGATCTGTTCTTGCTTATGAACAAGTTGATGTTCATGGGCCCTGCTCTGGAGCCTCTTAAAGTTGGATTGGGGCACCTGAAATTGTCTTTCATTAGGTTAATAAACCTTAATAAGCATGTGTGAAATACGTTTGCAAAATTAGTTTCAAGGCTTATTTGTCAGTAACAACCTCTGGAGGCTTCTTCAGTGCTCAAACTTGTGAGTTCAGTTTTATTGATGTTTCTTGTTGATACCTGAGTAAATTTGTTACTGAATTGCAAAAGTTTTATTGTGAAAGTGTTTCAACATATGAAACATTGAGAATGGTCATATGGCCGTGATCTGTTTTTCAAAACAGGGTCTCAGTGTTGTCTTTATTTCCAGTCATTCCCAGTCACCTACTTTATAAAATTCTGTAATTTTAGTTTAAAAACCCAAATTGGCTGATAATAAACACACACTATTAGGCTGCATTACATTGGTCCAGCTTTTTACTTATGAAAAAGGTCTAATTTGATCTCTTGGTTTTTTTTAAATTAAACATAAATTAATTGTCCAAAGAATCAAACAGAAGCCAACAGTCCCTTTTAAGAAGTCCCATGTTTACTGTGAATGAGGCACTCAGCTATTTTCACTTTGAACAATCCATCGTGCTTTAAACTCCAGGCAGCAGAATTAATATTTAAGCAAATGCATACGGCAAAACTATAAATCACTAAAAACAGTTAATTATATTGGAGCTGTGAAAATACCTTTGAGTACAGTCTGAAATAGCATAAACTATTTCTCTCCAGCGTGATCACAATTCTTGCAAACCTTTTATCCTTGTATGTGAAATCATTGCTAATTCTGTGTTCCTGCAAAGCATGTGCTTGGTTATTGTTTTCAAAACCACGTGGTTTGGGCTACTATTTAAATATAATATTTATGATACTACTTTGGTTGTTCAGCTTAAAAAGGGAAGTGCTGCATACCATTACATATTAAAAAGCTTCCGTGTAATTACTACTTTTTGCAGTACTGCTGTGCAAATCTCTGGGTCAGGAATTTAAATGGAGATTTTACAGGGTTCACAGTTACATTATATAAAAGCCATAAGTCTTCTAGAAACATGGGGGCTGCAGGCACTGGGGAGTGTGGAGTGTAGTGCCTGCACTGGTTTGTACCTTTTTCTTATCACAGCATCTATGCTTGCCATTCCCTTTGTGTAATAGAGGTGCACAGAGTGTGGTGGGCTCCCTCAAACCATCATCTGTTGGCCCTCTTTGGGTCTGAATTACCTATTTACAGATTTATTGTCATCTTGTCATCTTATCCAAATATGTCTGTTTGGTTGCACCTTGCAGAGGAGTGCTGGGAGACATGGGAGGCACTTCCACTGCCTTCTCTGCCTTGCTTATCCATGCAAAGGAATCTGTGAGGCTGCCAGAGGCAGAGTCTGTTGCCAATTCAGAGCCAAAGGCCCTTCAGGGGTGGTGATGGACGTAAGACCACGCTGTAGATGCCTGTTGGATTCAGGTTTCATAATCCCCTTACATTCCTTAGGGTATCCTGCCCGGTCTCCAGTTCTGCTCCACCAGAATTCCGTTGTCCTGGGAGACACACACTGGATCTGGTGCCCAATGCAGATATCTTGGCTTTCTTCATATGTCTCAAATAGCACTTGGGATCCCTGTAAAGCCACAGCATCCTGCCCTGATTATCTCACATATTACAAAAAATGGCTAATATGTAAAACCCTGCATCAAAGAAATAGTTACAATTACCATTGTGAATAAATTACTTACCCCAGAAAGGCTTGTTCAGATATTAATGGAAAAGAGAGAAAAATTTCCCCTTCATTGTTCTATGCCCTGCAGACTGACCATGCTGCCAGATCCACCTGTATGTTCCTTTGCACAAAACTGATTGAAACCTCAGTGGAGAAGTTTTGTATGTTAAAGAATGAGACATGAAAAACCTTGTAGAAAATTAAAAGAGCCAGTCTCAGAGGAGACAAATCCCAGACAGAATCAGTTAGAGATTGCCAGAAGAATTCAGCCGTATGACACTTCTCTGTGAATCCTGTGAGTAATGTACAATTGATGTGTGCAGGTAGAGAGGAGGAATTTTGTTCAAGAGTTTGTAGAATGTGACAATTACCTTATGAATTACAGATAAAGTACAAAATTCATGAAGAGACAATATCCCACACTGCTGTGAAGATCAGACTCAGTAGCTGTGAGAGTGGGCTGCAGCCCAGAGAATCTGAGGCATTCAGTCAAGATGACCAAACACAAGAATTCTTCAGGATGAGTGTGTTTACAAACACTTGTATCTGACCAGTAGAGCTCAGCCCTCCAGGCAGGTTCTTTAATCTGGCTGCTGCTCTAAAGGGAAGCTATTGAAATTTGCATGAAAGCTTCTTTCTGAGCGAGGCAGAGAGGTACAAGATGAAGGTCACCACTTAGCCCGCTCACAGAAATGCAGCAGGAATGAAGAGCTCACCCAACTCACACCAGATTGCAAAGGAGAGCAGAACTTTAGGGCTCACTTTTCCCTTTGCAGTAAGAACTAGCACGGAGAATTTCTCCCGGTACCAGCCTGAGAACAAAGGCTAATGAATGAATGAATAGGCACGAGGCTGAAATGAGATTCATTGCTAAACATGTGCTCTGCATGGAGGAGGAGTAAGAGAGAGTAGCTGAGTGAAAATAGTTCTAACTATGTGCACTAACTTCACATAGTTCATTTTCTAGGTTTTTTTCACCAAAAACATTTTATAAAGACTAATAGTCATTCTGAAAAGTATTTTAAAGGGTCAAAAAGGCACCATAAATCTTGCCAGAATATGACAGCTGACAGGTTTCCCAAGTGAGGAATTTGTAAACAAGTTTGTGTTGGGTTTTTTTTTTCTTGGTTTGTTTTATTTTTGGTTTTTATTCTTTTGATATTTAACTGGTAGATATGAGTGGAAATAGTTTCAGGTTTTCCTAAGCTCAGATATGCAGAAGTTTTACTTGGTCTTTTATCTTGGATTCCTTGTTAAGATCTAGATTTTTGCTAACTTCCCGCTTTATCACGAGTCTTTCAGAACACAATTTTTGCAAGGTTTATAGAGTGTTGTGGACACATGAAAATCTGATTTCTCTGGAACACAGATAGTAGGAAAAAGCTATAGAGAAATGATCAGGTGGAGTATTGGAATTCACAGTGGCCTCCTAAAGGGGCCAAACCAGGAAGGTAAATTAACAACTTTGAAGCTTTTAAAAGAGCTTTAAAGCTAAAGGATGTAACCTATTTCTGTAGATTGTAGGGATGGATAAGGCGTTTGGGACTATATGCTACTTTTTTTATATGTTTAAGTCTTTAACACTCACATCTGTTTTTGAAACAATTACTTGAATAGTAAAAACTATTATTTGGACATTGCTGTTTTAAGAGCCTTTAAAAACTTTGTAGAGATTTTGATACAAATATTTTCTTACCAGTGTAAAACATGGAGGTGCACTGATATAAATCCAGTATAAGCATGAGGAGAATCAAGTTCTTTATCATG